GGTAAGAAAGTATTCAACATTGAAGGATACAGAGATGGGATTCTCATTATGAAAGGTGAGAATTAAGTGAGATTTACGTGAGCCGTGACGGGCTCATGAAGATAGTCAACACGCATTTTTTCCAAAAAAGTAATGTCTATATTTTTGAAAAAGTTGACTACACGTACAACAAGACAATCTCAATACAAACGAATCCACTGTATATACATAGTAGAGTGTAACCGCGAGAGTGTGTATTTACACAAATGAAATCTACACATCACTGAAGCAAATCCGCGTAGACGCTAGTCTACCATTTAGTCGATCTTAGAGCACGGAGGAGATCCGGCATACATACGAGTATACATACCGAACGAACTGTGTAACAACAACAGCAACCATCGCTGTAATATAGTCAGATAAAAGAGCAATTGCAGCGGCGGCGGCGGCGGCAGACCGAGTGTAACAACAACGATGGCGCACGCTCGAGCCGCGAGAGAGCTATTAAAATACACATATATTTAATATGATATAGGTCTGTATACGTTCAAACACGCTGTCATATAAAAATTCGTGTCGCCTTACGAGTACATATTATAGGAAAGTGTGGCTTAGTACTGGCGATAACGACCCGACAGTGTCGCCCTATGCATTCTGTCTCGCGCCAGTTATTCAGGTTCCATTTACTCGAGCAACGGGTGCGTACACATAGACAGGGGGTGAGATGAGTGGGTAGAATTTTTCCAGACCATTATCGGTTTCGTAAATGGTTCGTTCGATACATGTTATGCGATATCAACAGAGATGGCTATTCTATCATCCCTAGAATACATACACGCGAGGGTATACCGCGTGCACGCCTCGCTACGTGTTATTGATTGTCACTGACCGTGTGTGTCTTGAGAACTCGGCACTGCAGCCGGCTACGTAGTTAGCCACTCATCACACGATTTAAGCGAACACGTATAGCCACCAGCCATCACCGGCTATGTCTAATTCATGATATGCTTTTACGCGAAGCAGTACGTGTTATTTACAATCCGACAGACAACACTCGTGACTTAAGCTATGCTGTATGCCGCTGTAGCATTGTATGCATTCCTCCTATGGCAAACGTACCCCCTTCTATGTTGCGCATGGGCAGTGCAGGTCGAATTCGAGTCAAAGTTATGACGGACTCTGCTAGAAATGCCCACGCAATGTAGAGACGGGACGTTCGCCATACCATAATGGGGGTCAGGAATGAATAAAAACAAATTCTGATTTTAACCACTTGTTTTTATTTAACTTATTTAAACTGACCTATTTCAACGATTTGTTTTTATTTACTCCTGAGGGGGTGTATACCATGTTGAATCGGCAATGTCCGAATACTTCGAGTGTGAGAAGGCGAATGAATCAATCAATGTACGAGTGGATCAACCAGTAAGACCATCGCTTTAAGATCAATCTGCTGCTACACCGAATCGATCTCACCTGTGCCTGTAGTAATCACAGGTAACCATCTTACCGTGAGGTTCAACCCGCCCGCCACACGGCGTCACGAAACTGCGCATGTCACGCAACGGGCGTGTGTAGGACACGCTGCGTCACAGTGCCCTCGCGTGATGCCACGATACGTCACAGCTGGCCCAGGTGACGTCCCGCGGCGGCGTCACAGCGCGCTCACGCAACAACACGCTGTGTGTCACAGTGCGCTCGCGTGATGCCACGATACGTCACAGCGCATTCACGTGACGCCGACGCACTGCGTCACAGCGCGCGCTCACGTGACGACGCACTGCGGCACAGCGCACTGTGACGTCACGGTGTGCTCACGCGCGCGTGCAGCTCTCTAACGTGACAGCCGCCTAATCGATTGTTACACTTAACACAAATAAACAAGAAAGAAGAGCCGCTCTTACGTCGCGCCCACGTGCCGTCCCGTGACTCGGAGAGCGAGCGACTCGCGATTGGAAAAACATCTCACGTCTCGATCGACGGCGAGTCGCGCGCTTGGACACATCCGCGACGCACTGGGAGAGCCTTGCATGGTAAGAGGTCGAGACCATTAAATCGTTAATGCGACCATTAAATCGTTACTGCTAACAGAAAACGAAGGGAAGCCGCTGGACATTGAGCGATCGTATTCAAACGCGCTGATCGACGACCGCTAGAAAGTACCGCATGCACTCTCTCTTTTCTGTCTTCTCGTGTATATGTAATGGACCCCTGAATGAACCTCGCATCACACTAAGCCGGTCACAGTCCGGTCAGTCGCGAAGGACGATCGTCTTACGACGATGTCGAAGACGTAGCTGCGAACGCAACAATTATATAGGGTGCAGTGCGACGCCTTGCGAGTAGATAATCATCACAAAACAACAGCGGCTACGTCATGCGTGGATCTTGTGGGAGGTGTAGGCGTGCATGTATGCGTTGGGTGCGTGCGTGCGTGCGCACGTGAGGGATTCCACCTATCTTCCACAAATAATATATATTCCTACGAATTGTGATATACATTTTTGATACCGATGGTAATTAATCAGTAATGGAAATTGGCAAGGCTCGTCAGCTTCTACTGCTTTTAGTGGCGCCACGCAGTTCAACGATAAATCACTGAACACACATCGTTTAGGGGCTGAACGCTGCTTAACGATGCACTGAATAAACTGCAGTTTTTTTAAAAAGAAAGTTGCAGCGTTTACGAAGCATGTTAATAGTGGGGAAGTCGCAGCTGACATCACCAGTGTTTGAGTATTCATGACAGGTGCTTGTCAGTTTCGCACGCACACACAACACACACACACACACACAGACACACACGCACGCACACACACACACACGCACGCACGCACACACGCACACACGCACGCACGCACACGCAAACGCACACGCACACACACGCACACACACACACACACTCATAGTATCGTGACGATTTCTTTTATTTCACCTAAGAAGCTAGTTCATTTGACCGCATGGCAAACGGGAAATTTGCAGTAACTGCGTCTCCGCTCGCTAACAACTGGCCAGTAGTGTATAGTACTGAACTGCGGAATTCATGCATCGTCAACCTAAAATTATGTACTCCCAGTAGATGTTTCATCTTTACTGGAAGTGGATTTTTTGGGGGCAAGCCCATAAGTACTTACGAAAGTACATACGAAGTGAAAACGAAGCTGGAAACACGGGAACGAGTGTGCATAAAAATGAAAAAAATAAAGAGGTTCAAAATTTTCTCTCGGAACTCTACAGTCTCATCAGTATGGAAGAAACGAGAATTACACGGTCACCTACATCGGGCCCATGCTCGGGGACCACACGGGCGGGTCCGCTGTCCGGAATTCAGTGTTACACTCAGACACGACGGGAGTAACAATATCCGAAGCGGCAGGCTGCAGTTGGGTAATGACGCGATAAACATTTTGTAACAGCTTTGGTACATCGCACTCGATGAGTTTAACTACGATTGCAAACACGTGACAGTATGATTTTTGTACTACACATAAACGTAATTAACTTAAATTCAAGCACATAAATAGTAGCGTTGTAGTCGGTTTATGATACCAAGGCTCTTCTGCTTGAGTGCATCTGCCACGTCGAGCCACAGGAAATAGGTATTAATTTACAAACTATTACACAGTATATACACGGCGTTGCACAGCACACGATCACGCGCAGGCACACACGTATGCAAGCACAGGCACACGCACGCACGCACGCACGCACACACGCACGCACGCGCGCACATACACGCGCGCGTACACCTAAACCTCATCATACACCTCATTCATACTGAACTCTTTCTTTTTCTCTAAATCTCTCTCCCTCCGTCTCACTCTCTCTCTCTCTCTCCCTGTCTCTCTGACTCTTCCGCTTTCGATCTATCTATCTTTCTCGCGCGCGCTCTCTCTCTCTCTATCTCGCCCAGTGCTTTGCTATTTCGTGGTGACTCACAAGTAAATCCACACTATGCTGACGATGCTACGTAATACTCCTGTGAGTATATTCTATTGGTTTCTATAATAGTATCAGCACCAAAGGAACACCATGAAACTCCAAGTGAGCCCATTTAAAAGCTGGTCGAAGAAAGCTACTCCTTCGCTGAATACTACCGCGTGGAATCCAGAGGAACCGTGAAGAGAAGGCCTGCTGCGCTCATGCATTAAAATGATCAAGAACCGTACTTGCAATTTTATAGCACCATCTAATGGCGTGTGTTTGCGAGCGCGTGTTGTGCGTTTGTGTGTGTGTATGTATGTGTGTGTGTGTGTGTGTGTGTGTGTGTGTGTGTGTGTGTGTGTGTGTGTGTGTGTGTGAGTGCGCGTGTGTGTGTGAGTGCGCATGTGTGTGCGTGTGTGTGCGTGTGCGTTGTGTGTACGTGTGCATGTGCGTGTGTGTGTGTGCTTGTGCGTGTGCGTGTGCGTGTGCGTGTGCGTGTGCGTGAGCGTGTGCATGCATGTGTGTGTGTATGCACACGCTGGTGCGCACGTGTGCGCCACAATGACGTACTTTGCAGCATCAGTCCCCTAATGCCATCGCCAACCACTAAAATGTCTCATTCTTTAGATAAAACGCCTTAAAACCACAATCAGAAATAATCACAAGCAATTAAGAAATGAATGGACATACAAATGAGACTGGGACTATCTGCAAACCTACGCAAGATGACTAAATTCGTTCAGAATTGATTCGTGACAAATCTGCTAAAAATGATCCGATGAAAATGAAAATGTCTTTAAAACCAAGTAAATATCATTTTCATTATAATGAAAAAAAAGTTATTTCAGAATCACGTGCAATCATAATATTTATTTAGTTTTACTTCCAAAAAATGGCAACAAATAAATAATACTGGAGAGGCCATTCATCTGAAATTCTACAAGATCGGTCGAGTCTCTCAAAATACGGACTCTGACTAGCATCAACTGAAATGCAACACGTCGAACAAAATACCAGGAGAAAAAATAATACAATAACAAAAACATTGCACCACAACCGCGATTGGCAGCAGGAGTATGTGTCTGGACACGCCGACTTCACGATAGCGGAGACAAGCTATCGGCCTGCGACCTATACTGCCGAAACTCTTCCTTTAAAACCGCACACCTCGCCTCCGAATCGCCGTAGCCGGCCGCCGTAAATACGTGATCGTGGTAGGTCCTCGGCCTGACGGGCGGCAGTCTAGGATGGCGCTGCCAGTAGTCGGTATTACGCGACAGGCGGCGGCTCTGCTCCACATCTCTCCTGCCGCTGTTGCCGCTCGCACCAACGTCTTCGTCTTCTGCGATCGAGGGAGATTGTCTTCTACCCTGAACTCCGCGCAGGGGCGCGAACTCGTGCGACTCGTCGGCGGTCGAGTCCTGGCCCGCCGACGTCAGGTTAGAGTTTACCGACAGCCGCGTCGGCCCCCTGGCGCCGTGCGAGTAGACGCCGCTGCTGACGCCGCTGCTGCTCTTGCTGTCGTTTGGCGACGGGCGATGGTGCTGCTGCTGCTGCGTCGCACGGTGGTAGCCGGGAGTCAGGTGCTGCGTACGAAGACGGCCCGTGCTCGTCGTATCGGTAATGCCCGAAACGGACACGGAGGGCGGAGCGTGGGAGCGAGTGTAAACATCGCGTACTGTTGTGTTTTGTGGAGCCGACCTCGTGCGTATTGCCGCGGACCGTGTTGCGTACGAGTCGCGGTACGGCGGCCCCTCGTAGCTCGGCCTGAGTTTGGTGACTGTTGGAAGACTGAGGCCGTCAGCGTTGCTCTCTCTTGGTCCCGACCTGCCTGTCCGTAGACTGTCTCCCGCGTAACGCATCGTTTCAAGCGGGCCGGGATCGTCGGCGACGGCGCCGTCGCGACTCACTTGCCGCAGTCTAGATGAGAAACCTGCAGGTTTCAGTGTGCTGTGAGGGCTCGTCGCGCGCACGGGCGCTGCGAAGCCGTAGTTTGCATTCAAATCCCTCCGAGCGGGGGCTCTACGATACCCGAGCGCCCCCGTGTGAGCAACACCCGTACCGACGGCGTCACCTTCGCTCGGGCTGCAGATAAACACGCCACTATCGTCGGCCATCTCAGCCGACGACGGAGTGTGACGAACGCGCGGGCTCGTCGTTGTCGGATGAGCCAGGAAGCCAAGATCCCCACAGCGGTGTCTCTGGCCGTATATGTCAGCGATCGCTCGACTCGAAGCAGACAGCACGTGCCTTGCCGATCGGCGGGGAACGTCGGCAGAGAATCGAGATGCAGCGGCAGACGACGACGACGACGTCAACTCGCGGCGACCGCGACCGCGTCCGAGCAGCTCGTCGTACGAGACGTCGGCCGGCGCGCGCACGGACCGTGGCGCCACCTGCCCGCCATCCCAGGAAGCTTGTAGAATCGAGCTGATGCCACTGATTTTAAACACGTCGCCGGCGTCGGCTTCGACGGGCGTGCTCGTCACGTAGTCCGTCGCTACTGCCGCGTCGGCAGCCCGATGCAGGACGACGTCGCCGACGACGCGGCGACGCGACGATGGCGGCGCCCCCTCGTGGATCAACTGGTCGACGCTGACGCTGCGTTCGAAGATGGCGTCGAGCGGACGGTCGCTGTCGTCGAGGATGAATCTGCCGTCGGTGGAGCGACTGATGGAGGCGATGGGCCACGCGAACTCCACCGCGTAGCGCGAGCGTCTGCCATACTGCCGAGACTTGGTCGGGGATCTCCCCGCCACGTATCGGGCTCGCCGTAACCTAATGGCACAGTGCAAGGCCACCATCTGAAGTATAAAAAGGTAGGTTGCTATAAATCCGCATATATACTATAGTCCGTCGTCCTCCATTGATGGTCTATCGTTGTTAGTTAGCCTAAGTTGTTTGGTCCGTAACCTAATAATGGCACAGTGCAAGGCCACCACCTGAAGAATGAAAGAGTAGGTTACTATGGAGTCCGTCGTCGTTCTCAATTGATTCGTTGTTAGTTACGTATGATTGTGAAAGGTAATTCATACTTTACAGTCGGACGGTTGGGCGGGCAGTTGGACGGACCACAGGCGAGGGGTTGGTCAGACAGACAGAGCCATACGCAAAGACAGGGGCAAAGATGGTTATTAATTTCTTAGATAAAGGTGTCAATTATTTACGAAAGGATTCACACGTCCGTGATTCATATACGTTATACTCTATATAATCTAACACGAATACATAGATTGCTGATAAATTATGAACAGATAACTTAGTTTACTAGTATTTACTAGAAAACAAAATGACTCTGAAATAGCTGACATTTTATTACATTATATTCATGAGTGCGCATGCGTAACAGACTACTTTTTATTACAGCACGTTCTGAATAAATATGCGTACTAATAAAATTCTTGACATATTCTGTTCTAATTCATCATACGCAATTATTTAGTTTTTCAACGACAATGTGCCTAATAAGCATTGCGAGATCAATTCGCGCTTCTGTTTTTGTGGTCCCAATTAGAGATGCAAATTAGTTTCGTTTTTCGTACACCAAGTTTATGATAAAACGCCATGCGCCAAATAATCAAGTTATTTAAATCCTGTGCTCGTGTTACGCCATGCACCCAGCTAATGACTGCCCTAATTAAGCTTGTTAGTCCAAGGTTATAGTTTGTAAATAAGTAATTATAAGGAAATGTCATGTGGTGACGCGAGCACGCATTTTACTGCATGTGTAAATCTTCTCTTTGCGCATGCGCACGCACACCCACACACCCAACTATACACGCACGCACGCACGCACGCACGCACGGCAAGGCACGCCGCGCGCACAGTTATTGCCAGCATAGCACACACTCCACAAACACCCACACCCACACACAACCACACACACACACACCACACACACACAACACACACACACACACAGCACCACACACACACACAGCACACACACACTACTCTCTCTCTCTCTCTCTCTCTCATCTCTCATCTATATATATAATATAATTATATATATATTATATATAATATATATAATATATATCTATCTGCTCCTCCTCTCACGAGCTTCTTGTGTATTCTGTCTCGAGAGAATGACATTAATCGGTGGACTACCTGGCTTCACCGCTGTTGAAAGCTAGACCTGAGCAATCCGCCTTCTTTGGCTTCTTGCTGACTGTAAATAATCATAAGAATCAGCATGGACAAGTTATGAATTGTATATATATATATATATATATATATATATATATATATATATATACTATATATACTATATATACGTGCATGTCCGAACAAGTTGATTGTATAATATATAAGAGCCGAGACGGACACACTGGCGATATAAACACATCGGAAGCACTTGATATTACGTCTAAATAGGCAAACATTGGTCGCATGATTGGTTTACTGCTCGCATATGATAAGGTTATTATAATTGGTAAATATTTTACGACAATGCATCTTCCGAGAGGTTGGGAGTGACGTGGTACTGGCAAGTGTGGCACGCGCAATAGTAGCATAAATATTGAGTTATACACGATTGAATGACAAAATCGGTTCACCTCCTTTTTTGCTCTTTTTCCTGATTTAAAAATTAAGCATGAAAAAAGCAAATGCAATATATCAGTATCATACCACAGTTACCCGACTGACCCATGAAATATACTCTATTGTATAATGCAGTGAGACAATATTGCCAAACCACAATTACTGCAACGAGCATAGTAATCACGTATTAAAAATGTTCTTCCTAACGGTTTAGTTTATATTTCTTATATTATCTTCTATATTACTACAGAGAAACACAATGCCTTACTTACTAAAGGTAAATTGGAAATGACGTTACGATACAAATGGGTCAAAACCCTTTCAATGAAAAATATACGATTACTTTGTTAAAAATTTGTACTCACTGTTTTGGCACGTGGTTACTGCTGTTTGCATGACTTGGTCCATTCATCGTTGTCAGCGAATTTAGGTTGTCTGCGAACAAAATAAACACACCCTAATCATACCAAGTAAGGTTTATAATTATAAGTCATAAAAAAGTATTTTTCGTCAGTGATCGGAAATCATATACCAATTACATCACCGATATCACGAATGACTGCGATACATATCATCGTGATCACAATTAGAAACAGATAGGGATACAAATACTATTTGTTTATAATCGATGCTTGAATCTTGCTCTGAATGACTTTTGTTCAATGGGTGATGCAAAGGTACGGAAAACGCTGCGCGTGCGAAACGCAACACCGTAACCTTTACTAACCTTAACCGTACTTCACAGGTTTCAATATTGATCACAAAAAGATCCATGCACATCTATGCCGTAGTGTGGCTCCTCATGTTAAAACAGTAGCACTATATTGCAGCATTCTTTGAGTTCAGCTAAAGGACTACCAACTTTATTAGATTAATTTTCGCAATATCAGTTGTAAGACGTGTAGAGTATGAGCCATATGGTGAGTGAACCATACATAAACCCCGCAAATAACTGTAAAATAGCCATCGCCACTGCGATATTAGAAAATTCCTCCTTTACATTCGTAACTAGACGTGTTTGGAAATAAACTAAATGTGTTTTTTCACTATCTGAAATTTTCCGAAAATTAATTTTCATTACTATACCATTTGCGTTTACGAGATATGCGAGCTATTTAAGCGAAGATGTTTTTTCAGCAGCGTTACATTCTGAAGGCTATCGTTGAGCAGATTATTATAATATATATGCATATTACAGAATGCATATTATCTAAGAAACATCAAGGCATCCACGTTAGAGCGATATTTTAGACGGGATAAATGGGATAAAATTCTCAAACACTGCGTGTGTGTGTATGTGTGTGTGCGCGCGCGCGAGCGCGACAGACACACGCACAGACACACACACAGACAGACACACGCACAGACACACACACACACTGTGTGTGTGTCTGTGTCGGTGTCTGTGTGTGTCTGTGTCTGTGTGTGTGTGTCGTGTGCGCGCGCGTGTGAGTTTCTGCGCTTGTGCATGCATGCGCATGTACGTGCGTGTGAGGCAATACTATTGTTTCTATATCCCTGGCATCACTGCAGCTGCTCGTCAATATTGTAGTTCCCCTGAACACGCTCCTTCCGCGATTCCGAAATATTCAGCTTTTTCTCGCATTTAATAATGCACTGTGTCGACATCGATATGCGCAGTGTACATTTCTTGTTTTGCCGTAATAATAATAATAATAATAATAATAACAATAATAATATAAAGCTTAAAAACTGCTAAGCGAGTTGCAGCGCCAACGTTTGAGAAAAGCTAATGCAATCTCCGGCGTTCCCATGCATCCCATAAACACGAAATAATTTTCAATGAACGAAATACGATTCAAGAACGAAATTACACAATGTATCTCAGGTTATTATCTCTCTCTCTCCCTTTCTTTCTCTCGATCTCTCTCTCTCTCTCTATATATATCTTCTCTCCTTCTCTCTCTCTCTCTCTCTCTCTCTCTCTCTCTCTCTCTCTCTCTCTCTCTCTCTCTCTCTCTCTCTCTCTCTCTCTCTCTCTCTCTCTCTCTCTCTCTCTCTTTTTCCTCTCTAGACACGCACGAACGCACGCGACGCACCTCACAAGCACAGAGTGGTGCGTGCGGCGCGCATTACGCAAGCAAGCAGCACACACGCACGCACGCATGACACATGCAATAATTTCTACCTCTAGCTTCTCAAAAAACAAAGCGCCTCATCACCCCACCCACCCTACGCTGAAGCATTCGACATCAAAGCAAACTCGAACACTCGACGAACTAACGAACACAAGAGAACACCTAATGGTATAGCGTGCCAGCTAAATGCGCAGATAATCCTGGTAACTAACAATACACTTTCAACAATACAGTGTGTATTGTTTGAAAACACCTTCTAACAATACACTGTTGTATTGTAGTAGCGTACCTAACAACTGTGTATTTAAATTCAATTTCATTTTCAATAAATTCAATAAAATCAATCAAATAATTTCAATAAATTCATTTCAATAAATGTCAATTTCCAGTTACAAATCAAAAAAGTACTAATTAAAAAGAAGAAGAAAAAAGTGTATAGTTAGGAAGGTGATTTCAACAAGAAACAGATGTATTGTCTGACAAGCTCACTAGTACCTACTACACACATGTGTTACAAGGTTGTTCATCCGTGTTTGTAAAGTGCTTAACAATACACAGTGTATTGCTTGGAAAGCTCGCTAACAATACACAGTGTATTGTCAAATGCCTAAACATACAACACACTGTGTATTGTTAGTTACCAGGATTATCTGCAATGCGAGAGCAAATCAACGACGTCAGGCACCCTGCGCTGTCTGTCACATAAGCCGAGGAAGCAGCTTATGCGTGAAGTAAAGGTGCTGTTGACATACCCGCGCCAGACGAGGACGTACCATATTTCTGCTCATTGTACTTCTTGTGCCGCTCGGCCTTCTTGCTGCACACGCACGTGGCGATCAGAGCCAGTATGCCCGTGACGATGAGGAAGGAGACACCGCCGACGAGTCCCGCTATCCCCGCCTTGCCCAACTGAAAGGGCTTTCCTGCAACGAGCGTTAGAACGACATGTTGAATCGTGGGAAAAGGCGTCGGTTGCGTTACATGAAAAGTAAGTACTAACGGCACTAAATGTATCCTCAAATTCTTACATGATAAGATTGTTTTTCAACTAGCTAAAATCCACAAAATCTGGGCGATTTGATATATTGATTACGACATTAAATGCTTGCTATGGGCTATGTATGAGTCACGACTGTTTGCTCACATCAAACGGAATAGCCAAATAGGAAGTGTAATGCAGCAATTTAACCATAAAAAGTCAACAGAATCATTACATTTTGTTACGAAGTAGACATGATTTTGTTGTTTTTACTATTTACGGTGATGTAATCACATTAACGTAGGCCCTATTTGATGCATATCGCGATGCACACTCCAGACATTATCGAACAATTAGCGACAATTCATGAACGACGTGCGACCGCAGGTATTAATTATAGAGCTGCGCTTGTCGTAATTAACCACCCATCGCGATGCGATGCGATTACACGCAACATTATATATTTATAAAGAAGTATATAATTACAAAGAAACGCCGCCAAACGCGAATAGGTTTCCAACGCGTTACGTAGCAGAGAGAGCATTTCTATCCGGCGCCGTAGGTGTGCATGCGTGCGGGTTTTGCCACGGAGTACCCGCGCAATAATAACTCTAATATATAATAATGCGATAATATAAGATCAACACACGCGGGTTAGTGACCACACGAGTGATGTGCGTACGTATCATACTAATACTACTACTACTACTACTACTAATAATAATAATAATAATAATAATATTAGTAATAATAATAATTCTTATTAATAATATTAGTATTAATAATAGTACGAAATAATACTAGTTAGACTCCATATAGTGTCTAAATATAGACTCAATATTAGTGTCTCTATATATTTTTATGGTATTAAGAGCTAATACTAGGCATTATTAGCTCTTGATGGTATGTATATACACACATGTAAACAATATCTTCAACCTCGCACGAGTAAAACTCGTCTGCGCTATCGGGTGACAAATATTGGCGAGTCAACTTCGTTCCGCTTCACAGCTCAAATTCACTGCTTGCGTTCATAATAGCGCTCCTAAACTCCTGTGATGCGCACAACACATACAACAATATTTGTCATAGGAAGAATCTTCCTATGACAAATAGTGTTATAGGACAGCGTATATGCATATGTCGTATTTGTCATAGATGCTAGCAAAACAGCCTGACTATAGGCTTACGTGGCACTTTGTAGACGGCCTCTGCGCTGGGCTCGCTAAAGGAAGTCAACGAAAAGGCGAACACGCGAAACTTGTACGTTCGGCCCGGCTTGAGGTCTGTCGCAAAATATTCTTTTTGACCTCGTAACAACCGCGGACTCAACTGCTTCCAAGGTTCCGCCTGCGAGAGAATACACACGTACGGCGTGAGACTACGGGCTATATGATTACATTATAGAAGAGGTCTGAACTAGACTATTAGACCGGAACATTATATAAAGGCATTCGGAAAGACCGATAATAAGGAAAGAAAGTGAATAATGTTAGGCCACATTTGGCAGGAAATTAGGTAGGAACGTGGGGATAGAAGCTTGGTAACGATATTAATCGCGGGTATTATGCAAGAACATTAGCTTAGAACTCAGCATTAATATAAGCAAGAGCATTAGACACAAGCGTTAGACAAAACACACGGTAGGAGGCACACAAAGCCATAAAACGAGTACTGCTTTTAGAAACGGCTTTTTGTGGAAGAATTTGGCAGCTAGGTACTATGATAATGCTGTGCATATATACGTCATTAAAGATGAAAAGTGTATATAATCCCCCAGCGACAACGTCAACACTTCACATACCTCATATACAGTATATAGTAAGACATTCACTGTTTACACACCTTGAAATATTAATAGTGATCGATGGTTCTCATAACTAAAGGGGCAGAGGATCAGCTTTATATATAACAAGTCTCACTAATCGTACACATACACACAAGACAGATGCATCCATACCTTAGGCCATGAGTCATCTTTGTACTCTACAATGTAGTAAACAACGGGAACCGACTTGTTCTTTGGTACATGCCACTCTATCTTGACACCACGTGCACCCTCCTCAGTCGTCTGTACTTCGGCGAACAGCCCCACGGGTTTATCAGGTTGTGGTCCTATAAAGGGTCATCATAATATAGCATGCGCCTTATAATGTAATAATATAAGGCATATAATGTATAAATGAAGCTGAACTGTCCGTTAATTACAGCGTTACTAATACGTTAACATGGCGAAACGTTAATAACAACAACTAAGCGAGAGAAAAGTTTCGAACATCTAGATCAAGCCACAACTGATTACCATACGTACCTATAGGCACAAGTATTGGAGGAATAAAGGTTGAGCCATATGCATCTGTAGGCAGCTCTGTGCCTAGACTATCATAACCTGCGGCATAAGCAGAACAATGATAGATTAATATATACCACTGAAGATAGAGATAGATGTATGGCGTAGGTGCATGGTAAATAAATCCTAAAGCGGCAGCGTGCAAGTGAACAAAACAAACTTTAATCGAAACAAATCTATGACACAACCCGTGCAAACATCACCAGTCACAATAATTTACCTGACACCGTAACATACGCGACGCATCCGTTTGCAGCAGCAATATTTGTTGGGCAAAAATAATACGTAATGATATACAAGTTCATAAAAATAGTCATCGGCAGCGGCAAGAAGAAATCGCAGATATACGTTATTAGGTCCCGAATAGCAGCATGTCGAAAAATGCAATAACATTATTTGGGTGTAGCCGCATATAATAAGCTATATATATATATATAGCTATATAATATGCTAGATTTCGATAGACGTACCCTGGTAGCGAACAACTATATTAATCATTTTAATCATCTGCTACACGAATTCCCCGCAGTTATACCTGCTAGCATTGCTGCAGCAGGTGATAGACAATAGACGATATATACTAATAAGAAACCACATCATCACTTGCGATCATAGTTTTCTTCAAGCAAAATGTTTTCGCCTTGTGTAAGTAAGGTTTGCATCCGAATAAGCAGGAAAAGTTGCACGTATATCGTGATGGCCGGAAGAGGCTTTATGAATGACGAGGTGATTGATTCGTGCACGCGATTTCCCGCGTAAACACTGTTCATCGACAGGGTACATCTAACTACGAAGCCCAACACCACAGACAATACGAAGAGTGAAGATATCACATGCAGCGAAAGTGCGATAGTTTTGCACGTGGCCAGAACTGAAGGCCACAGTTGGTGACTTATGGTAAATTGTCTAGATATGCAATTTCGAAGCAGAACTAAAGTTTCTGACGCAACATCAATTAGCTGGTAATTATGGCTAATTGACACCTCAGATCTGAAGACCGTACTCGAAGCATCTACAACTTTTCTACACATGGAATTACTATACAGAGAATACAGCTATACAGACAAAAATCAGTGGTGGTACCAACCATTCAGAATGCCAGATACCCATTCTTCATAACCTGTTGTATGTCAATAAATGTTTAAATCACAACACATTCAAATGAAAAGAAATCAACAATAATGCACACCAATACTAATACCACGATCATCTACTGCAATATCTCTCTCTCTCTCTCTCTATATATATATATATATCATATGCAATATATATATATGACAAGATTGTGGTTACAGCAATAGCAAATGCGTTGTATACATGCACTTCTGGCTAGGCCATGCATATAGCTAGCAAAAAACTAAATTATGATTCGCATAAAAATGTTTAAACGTAGTGAAAAGTGAAATACGAGCAGCGACTACATATTTTTAACTCGAATGAAAATTGCAGAGAAGTGAATTGAGTTATCATTATCTTCAATATCATCCGAGTCGTATGCTAAAAATTGATCAAATTATACGCAACGCCGAGTGCAGTGCAGAAAACGAATGCATTCGTCTAGTGAAGCCAACTGTTTTAGCAGCGAATGGAAACGTAAGATCCATAATCACTTGTAAGATAATACAAGCTTTTAGCTATACGCAAATGCATGTCTTGCTATGACGTCGGTTATCCAACATATGTCGGACTCGAATCACCAATCAGACGCTAGGTATCGGTCAAATAACAGCATCTATTTATCCACCAGGTAATTAAACTCGCACGCCAGGCATCCAAGAACACGCCTTCACTGGATATAGTATCCAAAATTTGAAGAAGATTTGAGATCCGAAACTTGCAACGCGAAATCAAAATCCGATCATAATTCTCATCGATTCAGTAAATGCTCTTTATCGGCGAACGTGTTTTTTTTCTTTTTTTTCTTCTGAATTATGACGCGTGTACCCGTTTTTCACAACCTACTTTTCGTTTTCTGTATCGTTATAGGCGAGAAGAGCCCCGGTCCCAACTCATTGTTGGCTCTGATAGTGAACTCGTACTCGGTGTCAGCCTGTAGACTGTAGACTGTGAACGACGTCGCGTTGCCCGGTCGCACCGGTATCGTCTTCCAGTCTTTGTCAGGATTGGCGACCATCTTGTACCTGTCGGCAAACAGTCGCGATCGAGAGCCAACAAATTAAATATGTGTAGACGAAATAATTCCGGCTCTAGTAGTGATGTCATAAAATATATACGGAAGAAAATCATGCGGGTATAGAAACGCCATCAAATATATTATACTGCTATATTGGGGCTATAATATATTTATAATATTATTAAATATATTTAATTTATATTATTTATATTATTTAATTAGCGCACGTAGGCATCGCTGGTAGCTCCACGTATCGACATGTCTTTCCCTACACGGCTTAGAGACTAATTCATCCCGAACGCAATCGATCGTGTGTGTTATGTTACGGTAATCACGACTGAACAATTAGGGAAAACCTGTATGAATCGTGAAACAAAACTATAAACGATACAACTACGTAACAAGATACTAACCGCTACATATATATATATATATATATACCACTCAATTAATTCCACTCATTAATTCGTCTTAATATCTATGAACCACAACTTACGAGCCGGTACATACGAAACACAGCACAGCAGACAATTATAGGTTCCAAACTGCTACAACTCAATTCGAGAACGAAATTTCAAAACAGATCGTGTTCGTAAGCCCGACGGCCCCGCGCGCTTACACCCCCCGCGAGACGGTTATAAATCATTACTAGCTCGTAGAGGTACATGTACACTTACCACAGATCGTACGTTTGAGGGTGGCCTCCGTCAAAAGCGGGCATCCACGTCACCGAAGCAGAGAACACCCCCGGTATGACGGTGACGTTAGTCGGAGCATGGGGTGTCGTTTCTGCATCGAAACATCCGCACATTACAATTAACGAATAACAATTACTGCACGGCACCTATACTCCTGGTACTCCTAGTGGTGATTTTTTTTACAGGGGTACCATCTTCCTGAATGCTGTGATCACAATAGTCGCTTCTGGTCCGTGTAAAGATTGCTTCGTTAATTCGACACGAATGATTATAACCTGTACCCAATCCTAAAACACTGCAGAGGATTCATTGTACACGCCACTAAAAGGAGTAGCAAACAGTTGCGTCCTATATAGCAAAGATAGTCGAATATGGCAGTCAATGTATTAACAAACATACAATATTATTGTAAACACGTGTTCAAAACGTAAGCAGTGTAACTAGAGTCCCTATATACAGATATACTCTGTATATAGGGACTCTAAGTGTAACAGTGTAGCAGTGTAACGTGGTCACCAAACAACACGTGCAAAAGACATGTTACAGCAGCGCATATTTCACGCGATTGCAGTTTGCTTGTACCGGTGCATATATAAATATACGTACTCAGCACCATGAGCTGTGCTGCAGCAACTATAGTTGTGACTTCGTTCATTGCCAGGCAGTCGTACTCCCCATGGTCAGCCTTTTGAATGCCGACGATGGTCAGAGTGCCATTCAAGATAGACGACCGCCCGACTGGTAACGACTGACCATCCGCCTGAAAGGTTTCATTCAACACAATGATTCATTCAGCGGGAGTATATGATTCTGCTGACAAATAATTGGTCGCAGTAACGATGCCCAGCTAGGTCTCATCACTCGTATATATTAGCAAAAAACGCGGAGTGTCCTTCCGATTCGTCTTTCCTAAACGGGGCATATGAGGTATGAGTCACGATACGATTTCAAATGAGTACATCAGTACATATAGGGGCAGTTTCAGCGAATTCATCGCTTAGCCTTTGATGTCTTCGTTCTCAGTGTCTTGACCAAGGGTCAACAAGGTTAGAGTTCTTATAGAAAGAGGAAAATATACGAGAGAAAAAGAGGGGAAAAGAGATAATACTCACTGACATTAGAAGGGCTGAGCACTATAGTGATCTATCATTTTTATGTCACAGCTTGGACATCACCGGAGCCATCCGTCTTTTTTATAACAACAGCTGCTATAGTTATATCACAGAAATATTTACCCTTCTCCATTCTATGATGGGAACAGGATCCCCAATCGCTTCGCAGGGCAGGCTGACCGACTGCTCCTTTAATCGTTGGTATAACGTATCTGGTCTCAGCATAAACGTAGGAGGATCTGAAATCGGCAGCGCAATTAAATTACCTGTACCACGCGTTCATTACCAATAGGTAGAATTTGTCCGAAACGCATGGCTTAATACCACATAAGACATGCGGGGTTTACACGTTTATATTATAGTAGTCTGAGTTGTCTATGGAAAAAATAAAAATGCTAAAAACGTTTATTTCAACTTCATTCGATGGGACATCAACTTCATTGGAGGACGATGTTGGGATTTGATAGACGTAGCGCGTCCATTTCCCAGAATTTCGAAAAGACATTCGCTGTCCTCACGGTTTATTCCGGGTTGGCCTACTCCCATTTCGCCTACGGCAAAATTCCTATTTCGCCTACAGCAAAATTCCCAATTGGCCTACACTCATTTCGCCTACTCCCAATTCGTCTACGCTCAAAATCTACTCCATTTCCATTTTGTCTACGATCGGTTTGTTCACTAAATAATCATTTATAAATAATAAAATATGGTTTTGGTTAGCATACATAGACTACAGGAACCAGAAGAAAACATAGGTACAAATAAGGAGAGCACAACTTGACAAAAATAGAAAATAGAGTAGCATATGGGAGTAGGCGAAATGGGAATATTGCTGATTCTGAGAGTAGACGAAATGGGAGTATGCGAAATGGGACGTAGGCGAAATGGGTGTAGTCGAAATGGGAGTAGGCCAACTGGGATGTTACCGTCCTCTCACAGCTTACCTCTTACATCCACACGCATAGGTCCAGATGGCCCCTCCGTTCCTACTTTATTATACGGAATGCACGTGTATGTGCCTTCGTGTCTGTTCCTCACCTATATTTGAATAGGATTTTCAGCATACTTAATAATTTATGAAACAAATATGTACATTATATTAAAATTAATTAATTAATTGATTAAATGTTATCACACGCGATATAATCGGTGCTTTAGTTTTTAGCAGTTATGCGTCATCTATAAAGACGACACGCACACATACACGCGTCTATACCTGTCAACTATCAAATCTGTATATCCGCATACAGATTTCGCAAAATTTGAACACGTGCCTCGTGACAAATTTAGCACGGTAGAACTACTAAGAGCACTACTATAGCGACCCCCTCGTACAGACGCTAGCTAAAGCGATAAGATACGAGCAGGGCCGGATTTGGACATGGTGAATCACTAATAAATAAGCTATGGAAAGCTGTATAGAATAAACTTGTGTAAATAATGATATTTTTTATTAATTGGGTGTACTTCGTTAATGTTAATTGTTGTTAATTAGGTTCATTAGCTTAAATCATTACTTGAATATAAATTATAATAAAACTTTAACAAATAAGACAAAAATCTGAGAATTTGAGAGTCCGCTTCAGACTGTGAGGCCCTAAGCTGTAGCTTATGTAGCTTATGACTAAATCCGGCCCTCAATACGAGACATCTTGCGTACATTTTGTATGAGCAGTGAGCCATTCCTGAGTAGCAGCACCCCTTCGCTGTCCTGGATCTTCACCGGCTTGCCATTTCTCGTCCAGGTGACGAGCTGCACTGGCGGGTGAGACTTAATGAGACACTGAACCATGCCTGGCAAACCCTTTGGCAAATACTGTGGCGAGTCCGTCTGGTATACACGTGCCCGAACTGAAACGCGTGAGAAAAAAAACCATTCACAGATTGTGAGCACGCCGCAAATAGGATGCAGCAGCCGAAATTGAAGAAATAGGTATAATAATGCCATGAGTGAATAATAATAGATTTTATATTATTATTCTATTATTAGATATTCTATTATTATTCACTCCTGATAATACCTTAAAGTAATGTATGTAATGTATGTAATGTATGTAATATATATAATGTATGTAATATATGTAAGGTATGTAATGTAATCAATGTAAATAGTGTAATGTAATGGATTGCAATAGAATGCAAACCGATGACGACGTACGTGCAATAAACAAAGCGAGATTTGATAACGTGTTTGTTTTATTGGACGATTGATTTTGTATCAATATGACACACTGCACATGTAACATGAAGTGTCTTTCAACTTCAATTTTTTGTCCAGCAGTAGTGCACGACACTACGTGCAGTGATTGGTGACCTGCCGAGTGTGATGCTGCTTCTGAAATCGCATGCGTGCCGGCTCGCGATAAAAATTCGTAATTTGTTTGTGAAAAGTATCTTAGTGGGATTTTTTTATTGTCTAGATGTTTTTTGTTAACGCAAATTGCTGCATATGTGACAATCAGCGGCGATGTTTGTGTCTTCACACAGCATCAAGTGTTGATCCACGTGCAACAGGACATTTCTAGATATAGTAGCTGCTGCCATCTAGTGGTTCGAATTTCTAGTGAACGTTTTGCATGAATTCTCTTGTCAACATTCGCGGGGCGTTGAAATTACAATGAGAAGTCAAATATTACGTAAATGAGGTATCATTAATATTTTCGCGCTATTCACTTTTTTATTAAAAATTCAAATTCTATATTAATGGTGGTATTTTAATTAGGGATTTCGCTATTCCAGCTAAACGTGAAAAGACATGCAACTGTACGCGACACCGACCACGGCATGAAATCAGTTTGATTTGGCCAATTTAATATTCATTTCAATTTGAAAACCGAATACGTTTCGCATTTTGCAAGCGTCACCTCGTGGCAATTATAGCACGAACGAAAACATCGTCGTTGTTATTTTTGCAACACATGACGAGCCAAAAGGACAGTAATAAAACATGACAGACAACACATAGTATGACAGACATGTATTTCTATCTTTGCACAATCCCGTGGCACACGACTCACATATAATGTCCAGGTATGCTTCGGCCTCTGGAGAGCCTCCGATTCCATTGCTGGCACGGCAACTATATGCTGCCGTATCCTCCTCCAACGTCGGGTAAATGACTAGCGTGCCATCCTCGTTAATCTGCAAGGACATTATTCATACTCAGCTCCAGCCCTTTCCCTAAGCGCTACATTCTGCGAATGGCGATATTACGAAGATGCGTACGCAATGTTGGATCGCAACCCGGACGCGCGTGATAGTAAATGGCTTACATTATTCTCAGACGACTGTTTACAAAGTTTACGTCTCTGAATCTATAATAATAATAGTTATCGTAGACACACGTACACATACACACACTCACGCACGTACGCACGCACGCACAGACACACACACATACACATACACATACACATACACATACACATACACATACACATACACATACACATACACATACACATACACATACACATACACATACACATACACATACACATACACATACACATACACATACACATACACATACACATACACATACACATACACATACACATACACATACACATACACGTGCAGGCCCGTTTAGCAATCTCAACACCGCGCGTAACCTAACACTTCGCGGCCCGTTACGTATTCATACACCCACGTCGCGTACCTACACTGTGTGCGGACCGTACGCATCATACACACGCGCGCCGACACTGTGCTGCGGCCCGTGTACGCATCAATTGACCACCCAGCGTATCACTACACTGTGCGGCCCGTGTACGCATCAATACACACGTCGCGTACACTAGCACTGTGTGCGGCCGTGTACGCATCATACAATGGCCGCTACCAATTCACTGTCGCGCCGGTACGTTGACTTGATGTCAATGAGGGTCACGAAGCGAATGACTTATTAGTGGCCGATTGTCCCGGCGGCCCAATCCTAGTTTTAGCGCCGCGGATTAGTTTAGC